TAGGGGCCATAAAGGGGCAAACAAACAAGCATTTTTCTAGTTTCAGGACAATAACTTGTGTGTAAGTGTATGAATCTTTAAGAAATTGTACTGCAAGGTTTCATATCCCAAAGGGAAAGCTGGGTTTGAGTTTGGGGGTAATTGCCCTAAACGTTTAGGAATTTGGCGCCAAAAAGGGGCCAAAAAACAAGCATTTTTCTAGTTTCCAGACAATAACTTGTGTTCAAGTGTATGGATCTCTCTGAAATTGTACTGCAAGGTACCATACCACAAAAGGAAGGCTGGGATTGCCTTTGGGGGTGATGAATCATAAGGGGGTTCAAAAAATTTTGGGGGGGGGATTTTTTTTTCATTTTTTTTCTTTAAAATTTTCCATTTTAAATTGGTTATTTCTGATTTATATATAAAAGCAAATAATAATGATCTGGTTTGAATAGGTAAATTAAACATTTTTAAGTTCTTAGACCACATTCATTCTGTGTCAGAAACCTATGCTGTGTCAAATATTTAATTACAATCCAAACTCAGTGCTGTATCAAGCTTGAATGTTGTGTCCATACTTGCCCCAACTGTTCAGGGTTCAACCTCTGCGGTCATATCAAGTTGCGCCCCAGCGGAGCATTTTATTAGACAATAACTCAAAAATAATTTCACCAATTTGCAAGAAACTTTGGTGAATTGTTTATTTCTATCGACATGAGCTCCCTTTTGATTTTTATAAATTTCAGACTAGAAGTTTCCAATTTATGGGGTTTTATTCATTACAAAAAGGGGGATTTTCCAGTTTTCGGACAATAACTCAAAAATGCTTTCAGCATTTTTATGCCCCCGCCGTAGCGGTGGGGGCATTAAGTTTTACCCTTGTCCGTCTGTACGTACGAACGTACGTACGTACGTCCGTCCGTACGTCCCAAAATTGGTTTCCGTTCTCTAACTTCAGTTTGCCTCAACCAAATGTTATGAAACTTATACACAATGCTTATTACCACAAAACACAGATCAAGTTTGAATTTTGGTGGCGTCACTGTAACCGTTCTAGAGTTATGCCCCTTTATAAATGGAATAATTGGAAAATTTTTAGTTTCCGTTCTCTAACTTAAGTTTGCCTCAACCAAATGTTATGAAACTTATACACAGTGCTTATAACCACAAAACACAGATCAAATTTGAATTTTAATGGCGTCACTGTAACCTTTCTAGAGTTATGCCCCTTTATAAATGGAATAATTGGAAAATTTTTAGTTTCCATTCTCTAACTTAAGTTTGCCTCAACCAAATGTTATGAAACATATACACAGTGCTTATTGCCACAAAACCCAGATCAAGTGTGAATTTTGGTGGCGTCACTTTTACCGTTCTAGAGTTATGCCTCTTTATAAATGGAAAAATTGCAAAATTTTTAGTTTCCGTTCTCTAACTTAAGTTTGCCTCAACCAAATGTTATGAAACTTATACACAATGCTTATTACCACAAAACACAGATCAAGTTTGAATTTTGGTGGAGTCACTTAACCGTTCTAGAGTTATACCCCTTTATAAAAGAAAAATTGCAAAATTTTTATTTTCTTGTAAATATCAAGTAATTTATATTAAAATTGGAGTTATCTTTCTTTGTCCATGATTATAGTTGAATCAACTACAATCAATGCTTTATACAATGCAATGTTTAATTTTGACTTCCACTGATAAAACACAGATCAAGTTGAATTTGGGTAGTGTCACTTTAACCATTATTGAGGTATGCCCTTTATAAATCGAAAGATTGCAAAATTTTTAGTTTCCATTCTGTTACTTTAGTTTGCCCCAACCAAACATTATGAAACCTATACACAATATTCATCACCACAAAACTAAGATCAAGTACAAATTTTTTGTTTCCGTTTTCTAACTTTAGTTTGCCTCAACCAACTGTTATGAAACTTATACACAATTCTTATTACTACATAATACAGATTAAGTACGAAATAAGGTGGCGACACTTTTACCATTCTTGAGTTATGTCCCTTTATAAACATTAAAATTGCTGAATTTTTATACGACCACAAAAAAAATTTTGTGGTCGTATATTGGTATGACGTTGGCGTCGTCGTCGTCGTCGTCGTCGTCGTCGTCCGAAGACACATTGGTTTTCGTACTCTAACTTTAGTTTAAGTGAATGGATCTTTATGAAATTTTACCACAAGGTTCAATACCACAAAAGGAAGGTTGGGATTGATTTTGGGGGTTATGGTAATAACAGTAAAGGAATTAGGGGCCAAAAAGGGGCCAAAAATAAGCATTTTTGTAATTTCCAGACACAACTTGTGTGTTAGTGTATGGATCTCTCTGACGTTGTACCACAAGGTTCCATATCACTAAAGGAATGCTGGGATTGATTTTGGGGGTAATTGCCTCCAAATTTTAGGAATTAGGGGCCAAAAAAGGGGCAAAAAACAAGCATTTTTCTAGTTTCATGACAATAACTTGTGTGTAAGTGTATGGATCTTTCTGAAATTGTACTACAAGGTTCCATATCACAAAGGGAAAGCTGGGTTTGAGTTTGGGGGTAATTGCCCTAAACGTTTAGGAATTTGGGGCCAAAAAGGGGCCAAAAAACACATTTTTTTCTAGTTTCCAGACAATAACTTGTGTTCAAGTGTATGGATCTCTCTGAAATTGTACTGCAAGGTACCATACCACAAAGGGAAGGCTGGGATTGAGTTTGGGGGTGATGAATCATAATGGGGGTTCAAAAAATTTTGGGGGGGGATTTATTTTTTTTTCCTTTTTTTTCTTTTTTTCCTTTTTTGTTTCTTTTAAAATTTTCCATTTTAAGTTGGTTATTTCTGATTTATATTTAAAATTAAATAATAATGATATGGTAGGAGATACACACCAAACAGGATGTGTAAATTATTATATAATAAGTATTGTGCAATAGCAAGAAATTTTCAATTGCACAGTATTGCACAATAGCAAGAAATCTTCAATTGCACAGTATTGCGCAATAGCAAGAAATCTTCAATTGCACAGTATTGCGCAATAGCAAATTGGTCTACATTAAGGTCCAAAGGGTCCAAAATTAAATTTAGTTTGATTTAAACAAAAATTGAATTCTTAGGGTTCTTTGATATGCTGAATCTAAACATGTATTTAGATTTTTGATTATGGGCCCAGTTTTCAAGTTGGTCTAAATCGGGGTCCAAAATTAAACTTTGTTTGATTTCAACAAAAATTGAATATATGGGGTTCTTTGATATGCTGAATCTAACCATGTATTTAGATTTTTGATTTTTGGGCCCCGTTATCAACTTTGTCCACATTGAGGTCAAAAGGGTCCAAAATTAAACTTTGTTTGATTTCATCAAAAATTGAATTATTGGGGTTCTTTGATATGCCGAATCTAACCGTGTATTTAGATTCTTAATTTTTGGTTCCGTTTTCAAATTGGTCTACATTAAGGTCCAAAGGGTCCAAAATTAAACTTAGTTTGATTTTAACAAAAATTGAATTCTTAGGGTTCTTTGATATGCTGAATCTAAACATGTATTTAGATTTTTGATTATGGGCCCAGTTTTCAAGTTGGTCCAAATCGGGGTCCAAAATTAAACTTTGTTTGATTTCAACAAAAATTGAATATATGGGGTTCTTTGATATGCTGAATCTAACCATGTATTTAGATTTTTGATTTTTGGGCCCCGTTATCAACTTTGTCCACATTGAGGTCAAAAGGGTCCAAAATTAAACTTTGTTTGATTTCATCAAAAATTGAATTCTTGGGGTTCTTTGATATGCTGAATCTAACCATGTATTTAGATTTTGGATATTGGACCATAATAGGTGAATGTCCAATTTAAAATTTTTAAGTTCTTAGACCACATTCAATCTGTGTTAGAAACCTATGCTGTGTCAAATATTTAATCACAATCCAAATCCAAAGCTGTATCAAGCTTGAATGTTGTGTCCATACTTCCCCCAACTGTTCAGGGTTCGACCTCTGCGGTCGTATCAAGCTGCGCCCTGCGGAGCATTTTATTTTGTTTGTTTCAACTTAATGTTATAAAACTTATACACAACCGTTCTAGAGTTATGCATGTTTACAAATAGAAAAATTGCTGAATTTTTAGTTTCTGTTCTCTACTTAAGTTAGCCTAAACCAAATGTTATGAGACTTACACACATGCTTATTACCACAAAACTAAGATCAAATTCAAATTTGGGTAGCGTCACTTTTACCGTTCTTCAGTTATGTCCCTTTATAACTATATGATATGCAAGCGGGGGCATCATCTGTGTCCACATGTGGACACTATCCACATTTATTTATGAAACTTTGGTAAATTGTTTATATCTATTTTTGTAAGCTCCCTTTTGATTTTTATAAATTTTCGATTTTATGTTTCCGAGTTATAAGATTTTATTTGTTTATAGTCTGACAACAGATTTACTAAGTATTGCGCAACAGCACAGTGTATTGCACAACAGCAATAAATCTTTCATATAACCAATTTCAAGTTCTTTGACTACATTTATTCAGAAACCTGTAATATATCAAATATTTAGTTACAATCCAAATTCAGACCTGTATCATGCTTGAATATTGTGTCCATTTTTGCCTCAACTGTTCAGGGTTGGACCTCTGCAGGCGTATCCAGCTGCGCTCAGCGAAGCAGTTTATTTTAGATCTCAACCCCCCCATTTTAATGTTGATCAGACAACTAAAAAACATGTCAGTACATGTTTTAATCAACCTGATGTAAGAACAATATATATCCATTGAGGATGTAGCCAGAGGTTAATGCACTTTGGATAACAAAACCACAGGTACAAGCAATACAATGGCATTTTGATGAAGTCAGTGCATGATATAGTAATGATAAACAAATACTGTATCAAAGACTGCTCATAGTTACTGATAATAAACTCAAAGTGCTTAACTTGCTAATTAAATATAAAATCATGAGCTACACTCTAATAACATAATAACATGTTGTACATTTTTCCTTTAATTGTAATTACAGATTTTACCATGAGAAAAGTGAACTCCCAGAATGTCTAAGAATAGAGAATCTAGAGAGAATAAATGGACTTCGACAGAGAGTTATTAGATCATTGTATTACATTTATCCTCCTTTTGTAGCAAAGATCAAACGGACAATGCCATTCGAGGATGAACCACATTTTTTTGTCGGCCAAAGATGCATATTTACTTGGCATGAAAAAGTGAAAAATGTGTATAAGTTTAATTTCAAATTCAAAAAGGAAAGAATATATGAAATTAACAAACTGAAATATTTTAGAGAAACAGCTGACTTGAAAAATGGCTACAGAGATTTATATTTCAATGATGAAAATGATTATTATGTTTTAGAAGTGACTTGTCAGACTTTCTTGTCAGTACCTTCTGTGATGGGACTTGTTTTAAGTAATGTTTATCTCAAGTTAAGTAGTGGCATGAGATATCATTGTTTAAAGCTAGTTTTTGATACTAATATAAAAGGCATTCCTGAAGGTAGCAGAAAGGGCATTGAAGATACTGTTATGATTTTAGATCCTGTCTTAAATGTAAAAATATATCCTTGGTGGCATCCTAAATATCCATTCCTTAATAATTAGCAAATTTATTGTAATCATTGTAGCAGTCATTTAACAGTAAACATGTGTCAAACAGATTAAACATAACCTTAGTAAAAACAATGAATTTTCAAGTCACAATTAGGAAAGAAGATTTTCAGTTATTACATTTGTTTTAAAACTTTTAAAGCTCAACTTTGGCTTGGTTAGCTTTTATTTTATTTTTGCTTATTTTAAAAGTCCAAAAGCTTTTAAAGTTTGTGAAATAAAGCTTTTTAAATGGTATGAAATTTTTTTTTTTTGTAAATTTAGAAATGTTTTGACTTTTGCAATATTATGACAGGTCATTTGTTGTACATATGTATTAATAAAAAAACAGATTTTTTTTTAACTTATTCAAAATGATAGGAAATACTGGACAAATAACTATTCAGATACTTACTTAACCATGTATGTTTTAAGGATTGGATATGAATAAATGAATATTTTTGCTATTTTAACTCTCCCTAGTACATAATTCTACTACCTCAACATGCTTTCAAAGAGGTACCAGTTTGGTTTCAGACTTATGATAATGCATGTCAAGTGCCTATTGTGGCAAAATTTGATCAAGAAATATTGCACATAGGTAGAAGTTAGCTCATAGGTTCTTTTGTTCAAATCTGAGCTGTAGAGAATGCAAGAAAATGTAGAGATTTGCAACAAAAAGCCCCCTGGACTATAATTCTTCTCTGATTAGGATGTGTATAATTTTTTTCCTGTTCAAGTATAAAGATTTCTGATAAGGGCATTTATGACAGCACATTAATATTTTGAATGCTGTTACATTAGAATCAAGACATTTTAGTTTTTAGCAAAGTATGAAATTAAACTCATTAATCTTGCTTCCACAGTTTTGAAATTTTAACTTGATTGTTTAAATGTTTTGTTATTAAAATTTTGTTATAACATGTTTATTTTAAAGAAGTTATATTTTGCATTCATTTATTTCAGTCTCAAGTTGAACATGAGGCATGTTAGTTAAGGGTTCTGAAATGGTCACATTTTCTAGTCATGACCAATTCTTTAAGGCCCATGACCAAAATATTTTTGGGATTTTAGGTCTAGAACAAAAATGAAAATTTACAAATCAGACATAATTATCAAGGCCCTTATGTCAGAAAGTGCAATTTTTTTTTGCAAGTTAAAACATGTAAATCTTTATTGCAATTCTTTTCCAGTTGTAAAACTGCCACACTGTATTTTAATATAATCCACAAGTTATTGTTTAATGCCCCTGGGAATAATTGGTTGATACTCTGTTATCATATATACCAGTGTTGGCACCTGAAGCAGAACATTTTGATCAAGAACAGACCATGGATTGTTATTTCATGCCAAATACACAAGTTATATGATTATCATTCACTTTTACAAGTATGATTATCAAGAAAGTTGATTTACTGCCAATTAATGATCAGAAGAAAAATCTGTATCATAAACCCAATTTTAATTGTAATACAATTAATATAGGCTAATATATTTACAAATATGCTGGAATATTGCTACAAAGGAACGGGAAGTTGATTTCAAATTAAGGAAGTATATCAACAAGGGTACACTGAAGCGGAGCATTACCTAGCAACAAAAAAATAGCGATTTACCATGTTTTTTCATGCCCCTGCCGTAGCGGAGGGGGGATTAAGTTTTACCCTTGCCCGTCCGTCCGTACGTACGTCCCAAAGTTGGTTTCCATTCTCTAACTTTAGTTTGCTTCAACTAAATGTTATGAAAAATATACACAATGCTTATTACCACAAAACACAGATCAAGATTGAATTTTGGTGGCATCTTTTTAACCGTTCTAGAGTTATGCTCGTTTACAAATGGAAAAATTGTTGAATTTTTATACGACCGCATTAAAATTTTTGTGGTCGTATATTGGTATGACGTTGTCGACACATTGGTTTTCGCACAATTACTCTAGTTTAAGTGAATGGATCTCTATGAAATTTTACCATAAGGTTCAATACCACAAAAGGAAGGTTGGGATTGATTTTGGGGGTTATGGTACCAACAGTTAAGGAATTAAGGGCCAAAAATAAGCATTTTCGTAACTTCCAGACAATAACTTGTGTGTTAGTGTATGGATCTCTCTGACATTGTACTACAAGGTTCCATATCACAAAGGGAATGCTGGGATTGATTTTGGAGGTAATTGCCTTAAAATTTTAGGAATTAGGGGCAAAAAAGGGGGCAAAAAACAAGCATTTTTCTACTTTCCTGACAATAACTTGTGTGTAAGTGCATGGATCTTTCTGAAATTGTACTACAAGGTTCCATATCACAAAGGGAAAGCTGGAATTGAGTTTGGGGGTAATTGCCCAAAAGGTTTAGGAATAAGGGGCCAAAAATAAGCATTTTTCTAGTTTCCAGACAATAACCTGTGTTCAAGTATATGGATCTCTCGTAAATTGTACTGCAACATACCATACCACAAAGGGAAGGCTGGGATTGATTTTGGGGGTAATTGTCTAAAAATTGTAGGAATTAGGGGCCAAAAAGGGGCAAAAAAACAAGCATTTTTCTAGTTTCAGGACAATAACTTGTGTGTAAGTGTATGGATCTATATGAAATTGTACTTCAAGGTACCATACCACAAAGGGAAGGCTGGGATTGAGTTTGGGGGTGATGAATCATACGGGGGTTCAAAAAATTTGGGGGGGGGGATTTTTTTTTTTTTTTTTTTTCCTTTTTTTCCTATTTTTTTCTTTAAAATTTTCCATTTTAAGTTGGTTATTTCTGATTTATATATAAAAGCAAATAATAATGATATGGTATGAATAGGTAAATTAAATTTTTTTTTAGTTCTTAGACCACATTCATTCTGTGTCAGAAACCTATGCTGGGTCATATATTTAATCACAATCCAAATTCAGAGCTGTATCAAGCTTGAATGTTGTGTCCATACTTGCCCCAACTGTTCAGGGTTCGACCTCTCTGGTCGTATCAAGCTGCGCCCAGAGGAGCATTTTATTCGTTTCTGTTCTCTAACTTAAGTTTGCCTCAACCAAATGTTATGAAACTTATACACAATACTTATTACCACAAAACTCAGATCCAATTTAAATTTTGGGGGTGTCACTTTTACTGTTCTAGAGTTATGCCCCTTTACAAACGGAAAATTTGCTGAATTTTTCGTGTTCGTTCTCTAACTTAAGTTTGCCTAAACCAAATGTTATGAAACTTATACACAATACTTATTACCACAAAACTCAGATTAAGTTCACATTTGGGTAGTGTCACTTTTACCGTTCTTCAGTTATGTCCCTTTATAACTTTATATGATATGCAAAAGGAGGGGGGTGATCATCTGTGTCCCATGGACACATTCCCCATTTATTTACCTTTTAAGTCAATAGGTTTCTAGCCTTCTCTATATTGAGTGTGGTGAAGACCGGTCGAGAACTATGCCATACAGGGTCGTCAAATGTCAGTATTACGGATGGACGGACGGATTGTCATAGAGATATGGGATACAACAGCTACAGTTAAGTCTGCCTCATAACTTAGACTTACATCTAGAAATTGACAATGAGGGTTGGTTGAAAACAAACTTTAAGACAAAAGAGATGATTTCATCTTCGTAATTTTGAACAGCAGCACCTGCATACAGTGTATATATCTCGTAGTTGATATGATATTCCAGGGTTTGTATTTCCCATCATGAATTTCTTGAAAGAGGGTTTCTGCTCACAAGGAAGTTGAAATCATCCCTTCATAAATTTTACGGACACCATCACGAGTTGGTTGACCTTTATGGAACATTTGTTTGACAGATGACGGATATTTTTTAATTTTCGTTACAAAATGTGTCCTCTTTTTCCTGAATGTGACCTACCGAATTAGACTTACCAGCGTGTTTATACTTACATGAGCAGCACGACGGGTCACATGTGGAACAGGATCTGCTTATTCTTCCGGAGCATCTCAGATCATCCCCTGGTTTTGGTGGGGTTCGTGTTGCTCGGTCTTTAGTTTTCTATGATGTGTTTTGTGTACTGTTGTTTGTCTTTCTCTTTTTTGCCATGGTATTGTCAGTTTATTTTCGAGTTTGAATGTCCCTGTGGTATCTTTCGTCTCTCTTTCACACTATCCTCTCCAATCTTCGGCACAGAGATATTCGTTTCGGTCTACACTACGTAACATTTAAGTCAAAGGTTTTTTTTTTTCTTTCGCCTAATTTTTTTCTTGCGCTGTATTTTTGTTTCAAAAGATGTCACTTAGATTTTTTGTATATGACATCATACAGTCTATACGCTTTTGAAACTGACCCTGTTTAACCGAACACTTTTCTTTGTAAGAGTTATCTCCTAGAACACTGTTTTTCTTGTTATGACATCTCCTTCGCAACCATAAAAGAAAGCAACACATTTATTTTTCAAAATTGCTAGTTATATCCTCAGAATGTTACGTTTAATTTTGACAGAAGCGTTACAGACTCCATATGAGAGTTATTCCCCCTTATGCTTTTGAAATAAGTGATATGTATTTGTATGAGTTTGCTATGAGTTATGAGACTCGGAGGTAAAGAAAAAGGCTAAATGAAAAAAAAACACCTTGTATAGATTATAACCATGAATTGGAGAAATAAAGTATATTTATTAACTCTTATTGGTGTTTTGTAGATGAAGACGTAAACAGGTCATATATTTAAATTGAAAATGTTGTTCGCGCAAAATCTCCCCCTCAGCTGCCATAGCTAAGGGGGAGATCTCCCTCTTTAAAGGTTTCAGAGGTTGGCAGTTATGGGTTACAGATATATGACCTTGAAGAAGGTCAAACAGATGTGACCTTTTGTAAACCGGAAGAAGCTATTTTTGCATTATTTTCATGTACAATTTACGAGAACTTTATATCTTTGGAATAAGTGTGAAGTTGGGTTCAAGTGTATCCGGAATTAGCTTTTTGTAAACCTGAAGTACCTACCTATCTCCCTCCCTTATTTTTAACAAAAGTATATCAAAACCATAAATTTTCGAAATCAGCATAAACTAAGCTATTGTCTGACACCAGAATTAACATTTTAAACTGAAATTGAATATTTTCCTATCTAGATATGTCTATTTGGGGTGGAAAGACCTTCAATTGTTCTCTGAACAATTGGTTTTTATACGACCGCAAAAAAATTTTTGTGGTATATTGGTATGACGTTGGCGTCGTCGTCGTCGTCGTCGTCGTCCGGCGTCGGCGTCGTCGTCCGAAGACGCATTAGTTTTCGCACTCTAACTTTAGTTTAAGTGAATGGATCTCTAGGAAATTTTACCATAAGGTTCAATACCACAAAAGGAAGGTGGGGATTGATTTTGGGGGTTATGGTACCAACAGTTAAGGAATTAGGGGCCAAAAATAAGCATTTTCTAGATTCCAGACAATAACTGTGGAACGGTGTATGGATCTCTCTGAAATTATACTACAAGTTTCCATACCACAAAGGGATGGTTAGGGTTTGCTTTGGGGGTTATTGCTCAAACCGTTTAAGAATTAGGGGCAAAAAAGGGGGAAAAACAAGGTTGTCCTCATTAATGGACAAATACTTTAGTACAAAACATAATTTAAAGCAGTGTAAGGGAGATAAATCAAATACTTCATTGAAATTATCTCCCTTACACTGCTTTTAAATTATGTATAAAGTAATGGTTAATGAACAATTAAGATAATTTAAAACAGTGTAAGGGAGGTAATCCAAATACAACGTTTTGGTTACTTCCCTTACACTGCTTTTAAATTATGTTTAAAGAAATGCATATTTATAAAGGAAGACCAGTATGGCGCATTAGATTTGTAAAATGTTTGACCACATTTATTTATTTGTTTTCCCGAATCTAACCGTGTATTTAGATTTTTAATTTTGGGTCCAGTTTTCAAATTGGTCTACATTAAGGTCCAAAGGGTCCAAAATTAAACTTTGTT